ATGTGCTTGTGTGTGCATATATGTACGATGTGTGTCTGTGTTTGTTCACGACTTTTGTTCCTCCTGGCTCAGAGCTTTCAAGCTTTGGAATACGAGGGGCAGCATGGGAACACTGATGGTAGGTGATATGACGTGATAACAGTTGCTAGGGGCTGATTTTTGTCCATACCACACAGACAGACAAGAAAAACAGAACTTATCACGCCTTTCAAGTGAATGGTGGAACCCTGGCGCTTTAGTAGGTGATATGGGATATAACGCGACCGCAGATTGTTGATGACAAGGACTGATTGGGTCTGAGAGGAAGTCACTAAGCTTGTTATTATTGACACCTTATTGTTGACAATGGAACCTTCGCACTTTGGTGCGTGATAAGGAATTACTGATGGTCCGAGAAAGGCACCGATGAAAAGTCGTTAGAGGCCGATAGAGAGTCACTGAAGGCATAAGACGTTGAGTTCGTTGCGCTCTTTGGGTTAAAAGTGAAAAATTGAGATTTCTAAGATTGCCGTAGTTTCGCGGAAATCGTGGATGGTTGCAGACAAGTGTTAATAAGAACTGATAAGTACTGGTAGTTGCTATTAGATCTCTACCTCTTTTTGCAGGACAACGGAGTATTGTTACTTCAAAGTGATATGATGCAGGTGGACCGCAGAAAACGAATTACAAAAAGTGATAACAGCTGGTAAAGACTGACAAGTAATCAGATGTTTAGTTTCCAACCTATTTGTCAGATGATGAAGATGAAGCCTTGTCGCTTGAACATTTCTCATAGGGTAAGACAGAATGGTAAAGCAGACTGACAAAAAATTAGTGGCAAGTGCAGCGACAAGGTCCGACCGAAGTCGAAACCACAGAAGGGGAATAATTCGGTTCACTCGTGAGGGACTAATTGTTCACCTTATTCCAATATGAAATATTGAATTGAATAATTTTGGTTAAGGGTCTTTAGGCCTATATGAAACATAGCTTGCACCAGAAAAGGAACACATCGAAAATGGAGTTTCATAAAAGATTATCAAACAAATTTGCCCGATTCCAATAATTTATGAGTCGCGGTAAACGTTTTTATACATGAAGATAAGAAGGGCTGAAGCCATCTGATAATTTCGTTGTCTTCAGGTTGTTTGTATTCTCCTCCAGTAACTTCCACGTTCGGTCTTCTTTAAACCTGGGCATGTTGCATAATATTTTACACTGTTTTGCCCTACAGGTTTGTTGTGATGGATGATGATGTGATGTTGTGACCGCTTTATTAGGTCCACGTTTCGAACAAATCGTCGT